ATCTGATCTTGTAAACCAGGACTAAATTAAGACTAAACCAGGACTACATCAGGTCTAAACCAGGATTAAAACAGGACTATCACAATTTTTGAGAAGCATAATTTGTCATTTGTTTTGGCAAAATACAAAAATCCGTATAAAAATTTGTGGTCATTGCGCAAATGACCACAAAATAAAAAAATGTCCCTCAGATTATGACTGACACGAGAATCCACAATATTTTCGCTCTTTTCACTATTTTATTTATCCCAAACATCCCAACTTGAGTTTGTCCCAGTTTAGAATTTTGAAAGTCGCCCTAGTTTAGAAGTACTGATGCATTTCTGTTGTTCTAGTGTCTGAAACTCTGCTCCAAACACCTCCACGTATCTTATCTGTCTGAGCTCACGTGATGGGAGTTCCCATTTGTTGCCGTCTGCTGTGGTTTTGTTCCCGTGTGATGTCTGAATGACACAGATCTGATTTTTTTCAAATGTGACCCAGGACACTTGGATATGTGCTTCTAAAACCGATACATATCTGATCTTTTGACATGTGACTTCAGTCTGAACGGCCACGGCGCATTCATCCCTAGTCAGGCTGGCATCACCTAGTGCCTCTGCTCAATTTTATTTCTCTCCAGCGACTAGATCAGGAATCAGAATACACTAGACCACAGGTGTCAAACATAAGGCCTGGGGGCCAGATCCGGCCCTCCAAGACCTTTAATGTGGCCCTTGGGTGATTTTCTACTAAAATATTTTAATTATATTTTCTATTAAAATATTGTTAATTTTCTGTGGTGTTTATCACAGCAGCGTCTCCAGCGTCTCTGTACGTGGCCCCTCCCACCAGAGCAGCACAAATGAAGACTTGTCTCTTTCCAAACGCTCTTAAAGGACGATCGTTTTGACTGTTGACCGTGACACCCTCATCAGAAAAATGTCCAACATGAGAAAAGTGGAGCCGAGTGCAGGATTTTACAACAAAAATGGACTTATTCCTGTTTACAAACAAGTTCATGTTAAAACATTGTGTTGAAATTGAATTTTTCTTCAAAGTTTCAGGTTGTTCATAATATTATAATATTATATTAAGAAAGAGTTCATCAATTAAAAAAGATTTTCTGTAATAGATTTGTGTTTCTCTGCACAAATATTTTAAGTTATTGTTATTTTTGGGGTTTATATGACATGAGTTTTCTGATCCGGCCCCTTTGGGATCAAAGTAGGTTGGATACGACCCCCGGACCAAAATTAGTTTGACACCCTGCACTAGACGGTTTACAAGAACCCTGGAAGTGCGAGTCCAGGCACCAGCCAATCAGCGAAGAGACAGACATTCTGTGTTGTCAACGATTCGCGAGATCGAGGATTTAAAGCAGGAACAAAGAGAATGTTTGGTGAATTTTATCAAGGGGAAAGACGTTATTGTCCTTCTTCCTACGGGATTTGGAGCATTACATACGTCACGACCAAACAGCAGCGATTGGTTAAATAAAAAAAATACCTGTCTACTGTCGAGCGAACGAATCCTAATGCTGCGAGGTCAGACAGTTTCTACGAAGTGAAACCGTCTGATGAATCAGGCTAAATTATTCCACCTGCACGTCATAAGAACATGGTAACAAACACCGACGCGTTTACTCACTGAAATAAGCCGCCGAAACGTGTTTTCCTCCCGTACAAGTCTGCGCTCACAAACGTACACAAACGTTCTTCTCGTCAAATGAAAATTGTGTCTGAACTCCGCGTCAGTGAAGCAGTGAAACACAAAACAATCACACCACTCCTGTCTGTGACTCTGCACCCACATGTTCCTTTCTACAAAACGGGGTCAGTCTTTATCATCAGAAGAGCCTCTAGTCAGAAGGCCCTCTAGTCATGTTCAGGTCGTGTTACAAATTGTTACAAATGAAATTGTATTTCAAGTTTTAAATATTTTAAAAAGTAAATATTAAAAGTAATAAATATATTAAACCCTTAAAATACAGCAAAAATGTTTGAGGAAATAATGATTTGGGTGAAATGTTTGTCTTAAGTGGAACAGGGTTAATAATTGTCTGATTTTCAGGCAACAACTTGCAAAATGTTCAGTAATTCGAGCTCTACAACCTTCATTTCAATTTTATTTTCAATCTTTTTCTTTTAAATTATAGCATTGGTGGGTTTGTAAACCAACAAATTAAGTCATGTTGGCCTTAGCTGATGCTGTTATACATGATTATGTGTTTTCCTGTCAATATCTCTAAAAATGTTGATGTTGCAGCCATTTTTAATTGGTAAACATCCAAAAGTTTACTAATTCTTCCCTGATATCCAGGGATTATTCCCTGTTGCTTTCATCAAATAAACATTCAATTGTTCAAGAGAAATGTTGCTGACAAACCAATAGAAGAGGGAATGATTTTCTGACTAGTGGATCTTCTCACTACAGGGCCTTCTGACTAGTGGGCTTTCTGACTAGGGGACCTTCTGATGATAGGGTGTAACCTTACAAAACACTACGGCCAAAAACCTCGTCCTTCTCATTCTCAATCTTCTCCTTAAAACAAATCATCTGTACATGTTTTGTTCCGGTACGACAGTGACTTTAAAATCTCCAGGTGCTTAATGCTCACGTCTATGTTTGGACAACTTCCGTAAACACAGACGTCGCCGTGTCTCCAGTGTCACATGCGGGACACTTTTGGGCCGTTTAATGTTCACACTGGAGTCACATACAAGTCACATTTAACAGGAAATGTGAACAACCTCGCAAAAAAAATCTGATTTCACAAAAAAATCCAAATTGAGCATTAAGGCCTGCAGTCTGAACGTCGCCTAAGGGTCTGGGTGTCTAACAAAGGCTTTTTATTGTCTAATTATAAATGTATCTTGTACGGGAATCTTCCAGAGTTTCTGCAGTTTGTATCATAAAACAGAACAACATTCATCATTGAAGGTGACTGAGCAGAACATTTTGGACTTTAAATGTAGCAAGGATTTACCATATTTTTCTGGACTACAAGTCACTCCGGAGTACAAGTCGCACCAGCCAAAAATTGCATAATGAAGAAGAAAAAAACTGTATAAGTCACACTGGACTGTAGGGCTCCTGCATCGTACAGTCTCGCTCGCGCCACAATGAGCTTTCAAAATGTGTCCTGCACTGCACTGTTACGCGTCGGGTCCCGTGGGTGCAGGGCTCTAACCTGACGTTTCATTTTATTTGTATTTTCTAATTATTTAGAGTTTGACAAAAGAACACAGCGGAATGTAAACGACTGCATCTGTTAAAATTTGTTAAACAATTTTACAACTTTTTTAAAGTCACTTTTTTGTTCTGTATCAGTCTTTTGATCTTCCACGATAATAAAAGTAAAGTAGCTCAAGTTGAGGCTTTTCTCAGCAATTTTTAGGTGAGATTAAAAAAGAGATGAATTAGATCAATGAATTACAGATCATAATTAATTCATCTCTCCAATTTTTTTTATCTCTTGACAGAACTAACAAGACCAGAGCATCTCGACACTTCACTCTGAACTCTGAAAAAACTGACTTATAATACAGTAAGATTATTGTTCACAAATGTACGACGGAGTATAAGGGTCAGATTAAAAAAAAAAAAAAAAACATGCTGGCGCTACGAGAATAAAAGTCATAACATTTCGACATTAAAGTCGTAATATTATGAGAATAAAGTTGAAGCCAGAAAAAGTCGTAATTTTACGAGAATAAAGTCGTAAACTTACAAGAATAAATTAGTAATTTTATGAGAATAAAGTTGTAGTCAAAATAAAGTGGTAATATTATGAGAATATCAGCTGCTTGGAAAGTCTGAACTGAGTGGAGAATGGAGAATTTGGAGCATTTTGTAAAGGAGAAGAATCCGTGTATCATTCGTTCATTCGACTGAACAAGGACTGAATCAGGACTAAATCAGGTCTGGAACCAAACCAGAAAGACCAGGATTGAGACCGGGACCAGACCAGGACTGAAAACCGTTTAGTCCTAGTTTAGTCCTGGTTTAAGTCACGGAAATGGGAAAAGGCGTTTCCGTGACTTTAAAATGTGATGCGGGACTATTGCGCCGCATACGGACTGAACCAGGACTGAACCAGGACTGAATCCGGACTAAACCAGGACTAAACCGTTTTCAGTCCTGGTCTGGTCCCGGTCTCAGTCCTGGTCTCAGTTCTTGTCTGATCCCGGTCTCAGTCTTGGTCCCTGACTCAGTCCTTGTCTAAGTCCTGGTCTCAGTCCCGGTCTGGTCTCGGACCTTGTTTAGTCCTGGTTTAGTCCTGGTTCAGTCCTGGTTCAGTCCGGAGGCGCAAATAATGAAGAAAATTGTTGTTCGTTTTCTTATTTTTGGTTTTATATTGAAAAACAAGTTTCTTCTTCTGCCGCATTTTTCACTTTGACTTTGATTTTATTACGACTTCATTCTCTTCACTTTAATGTCGAAATGTTACGACTTTATTCTCATAACGCCAGCATCTTTTTTTTTTTTTTTTTAATCTGACCCTTATACTCCGTCGTACAAATGTACAATGTCCACATAAACTTCTTTTTGTTGTTGTTTGTCTAACATTTTCACCACCAGGGGCTTTGTGTGTGTGTGTTTTTTTTGTTTTTTAGGTGCACAATTTACCCTTTTTGCTGTTGCCTTGGCATTAGCAGATCATATTTGCGGTATAATAAGAGTTTTACAAGTGTTAACCAGCCCCTGCACCTCCCGCTCTCTGCCCCAAAGAGCACGTAATCCTCTGAACCGCAGGTGGCCGCGGGATTGAGAGAGACTTCCACATTTTTTTGCCAGGGTTCACTTCACAGTCGCACACACTCTGCTGCTGCTGCTGCTGCTGCTGCCGCGAACAGGCCTGAGAGGGTGGAGGCTCCAGAGGGCACACGCCACACCACACAACACACACAGCAGCAGACCGGGCACCTGGGCACCGAGGAGGATCCGAGCCGTAGACCAAACTACACGGGCACGAGGACGACTCTGGAACCCACGCGAAACCGCACGAGAAAGAGACGATGGCCAGGGATGCTCTGATGGACTACGAGTACCCGGACCTGGATCCTCTCCCCACCGTGGCCCAGCAAGAGTGAGTACTTTTAACACTTGTACTGCAGTATTTGAAAGCTGAAGCTGAAGCGCGGCCTTGGGTTTATCTGCGTGTTTTTTCAGAGCACAGTTCAGGCAGAGTTACGCCGAGCAGGATTCTCGATATTAGCTGCAAACTTGGCAGACTTCCCCGGACCCGGAGAATGAATGGGGTCATGTTTATGTGTCAAGTGAGAGAGCGCTGCCGTTTAAAAGGAGCGCTGCGGAACTTTACTCGCAAGGGTTTCGCGACCTGCTCGTTGCCGTGGAGACGCGCGGAATGTTCCTCGTGTCAGATTAAAGGTCTTATATTACGCAAAACGGATCCCGGTGAGGTTTAACGTCGCGTTCTGACGTCGTTTCCTCGTCGAAAACAAACTTTATTATGAGTTTATCTGCGTCTCCGAAGCTCAAAATGCTCTGTTTCAAGTTGTGATGTCATGAAGTGGTAGTTTTCACGTTCACATACACGGCAAAAAACAAAATCAAGAGTTAAATGACTTGAATTAAGAAAGTTTTATCACGATTTGAGTCAATTTCTCTTGACAACTCGACTGATCTGCCAGTGGAATAAGACTTTTTGTGCGTAAAATATGAAAATACATCTTGATACTTAGGAGTGTAACGATATTCAAGTCTCACGATACGATATTTTCACGGTTTGAACTTCACGGTACGATATTTATTGCGATACCGTGGGAAAGTTCACGATATGGAGGGGAGGCTCACGATTAGAGATGTAACAATATCCAAATCTCTCTGTACGATATTTTCACGATAAACATCTCACGGTACGATATTTATTGCGATATTTTGTTAATATGCGATTTTTTTCTTCTTAAAATGCTTCGACAAGACTTAATCCAAAGAACTAAGACTTAAAAGTGTTAGAACTGTTATTTCTTCTTGTCGTCTGCGCTGAAATGGAGCAAAGGATCATGGTCTATGTAGTTCCCTCTGTCTTTTTTTTAACTATTGCTGCACCATAACTCTTCATTTAAGTAAAGAGACTTGTAATTCGATATATTGTGATGGTCCACGATATTATTGTGAGAACTTTGACGATACGATATCACGATATTTCGGGTATTGTTACATCTCTAGTGAATATGCGACTTTTTCCTCTTAAAATGCCTCGACAAGACTTAAGAACTCAGACTTAAAAGTGTTAGAACTGTTATTTCTTCATGTAGTTTGTGCCAAAATGGAGCAAAGGATCATGGTCAATGTAGTTCCCTCTGTTTTTTGAGCTGTTGCTGCACCATAACAATGAAATTAAGCGAAGTACCTTGTGATTCGGAATATTGTGATGGTCCACGATATTATTGTGAGACTTTTGACGATACGATATACTTAAAATAAGAATAGGAATAAGAAAAACTAAAACTTTTTACACTAAGAATAAGAAACAAAATCTACTGTTGCTTGAATTAAGAAAAACAAACTTATTCCATTGGTCGATAATGTTACTTGTCAAGTTGAATCGACGTAAATAAAGTAAAATGATCTTAGTTTAAGTGATTTTAAGTTACACAGACATTGTTTTTTTCAGTGTAGGGTGAGCAGATTTTCAAAATCAAAAACTGCTCTGGAAAAAACAATGTCTAGCCAACTTAAAAAGACTTAAATTAAGAATATTTGACTTTATTTGAGTCGATTCAACTTGACAAGTGAAATTATCGACCAATGGAATAAGTGTGATTTTCTTAATTTAAGCAACAGTTGATTTTGATTCTCATTTTAAGTGCAAATAATCTTTTTTTTTCTTATTTTAAGTGCAAAGAGTCTTGTTTTTTTCTCATTTTAAGTGCAAAAAGTCGTTTTTCTCATTTTAAGTGCAAAGAATCTTTTTTTTTCTTATTTTAAGTGCAAAGAGTCTTGTTTTTTTCTCATTTTAAGTGCAAAAAGTCGTTTTTCTTATTTTAAGTGCAAAGAGTCTTTGTTTTTTTCTAATTTTAAGTGCAAAAAGTCGTTTTTCTCATTTTAAGTGCAAAGAGTCTTCGTTTTTTTAAGTGTAGCCAGATGTATTTTCATATTTTAAGTACATAAAGTCTTGTTTCATTGGCAGATCATTTTACTTGTCAAATGAAATTGACTCAAATCAAGATAAAACTTTCTTAATTCAAGTCATCTTAACTTGACTAGATTTAGTTTTAAAAGTGAAACGAGTGTGAAATTAAGGAAAACTGTTCTGCACTCTAACATGTGAGTCGGTATAGTCACATTTTCTTTGCATTTTGGTCGTTTTTAAGCAGCTTTTCTGTATTTTACCGAAACAAATTACGATTTATCTGATCAAATTGGTCAAAAATAGGGACACCTGGGACATTTCTTGTATAAACTGGGACAAATCAGTGGTTTTGTATAAATCTGCTGGGACAGGGGACACAGGCTCAAAACTGGGACCGTCCTGGAAAAAGAAGAACGTCTGGACACCTTCAGTTAAACACTATCATTCGTCTTTAGCTCAGTCGAGATCGGCAATTCCTGGGGTGAAATGATCCAAACGCAAACACATTAGAGACATCACAAGGTGGATTAATGTGTTTTCTGTTTGACAGCTGAAGTCTGCAGGTTTGTGTGTTAAACATGTGTGAATGAAACAAAAAAAAACACAACTCCAGGTCTGTTTGTGACGAGGAAACTGCATTAAAACATGAGAAAACAGCGTAATATGAGACCTTTAACGATCTTTGTGTAATCCCTCGCACATGCAGGGTCCAAGTAAAGAAGATTAAAATCTGTTCTATTAACTGGACAATTTTTCTTACACTGAATGTTTTGCGAATCATCTAAGCAGCTTCTTCAAACTTTCTACTCAAACTTTTGTCAATCAAATCATAAAATTCAACCTTTTTTTGCAATACACGAATGCTGAATTTTGGACTTCCGGTCATCGCGCAATGCAAAAAAGGAAGGATCCTCCGAAAAAGTGAACATGTTTGATTTGCCAGTGGGACGTGTCTATTGTCAAAGTCGATTTTTTCAAGTCTTTTGAAC